GTTTTACGTAAAACGAGGTGGTAATAACATGTGATTAATTTAGTATCTTCACAAGAAAATCATGTACATAATTAATGACAACTACTTAAGAGTCTAAGAGCAAGTTTAATAGTATAGCCAACCATTAGCTCCAACTCACCTATAGTTAATTTAATAGTCAATTCATATAATGGTTACCTATAAACATATACTACGCTATTAATATCTGGTCTCACCTATCATACACACATCGCGTCTTATAGTCCGTGCTGTAACTGACAACAAATCTGTAGTTCGCTACTCTTGTCTATCATCTTTTATCTTCTCGACATGTATTTATAGTTGGTATATATTCCGCTATTGTATCCGCTCTAGGATATTAAGAGACATAACTTGGTACATAAATTGGCGTTGCGAAATTGCGCCCCTAGTAAGTACTAGTAGTCTATTTTTACCCTCTAGAACACAACGGAAGCATGATGAAGATCATTGATGAAGGATCAGTGATAAAGCTCTTCACAGACAAACTGGACGTCACCAATTCACCAATCTGCCCGAACTCTGAAACCGTAAGCTTGGAAGGCGTTAGGAACTACTGCATGGGCCTGATCAGTTCATCAGCACATTCGTGCCTTCTTCTATCCTCCATCAGTCCATCTATCCAATTGAAGGGAGAAGAACCTACAAGAAAATCTCCGGACGATCGATAGTCCTGCGCGCCAATCCGCATCTCTGATTCTTTAGGCTGAGTTCGGGAGCCTCCTGATACGGCGCATAATTAATAAAGTATTAGTTAAAAGGACTTTAAAAATAGATTAACATAATATTTTAGACAGTGGTTGCGCTTATACGTGGTGAGTTTGTTCTTCTCCAATGACACATTCACAAACGACGCTGAGATGGAGTAGATGTGGCATAGAAGGCGCGGCGGATGAATTGTCTGCTCCTAGACACCACCGAATTGAAGTGGATGCTGTTAGTTGAGAGATGTTGTTCTTTGGCCACATTTCTAGTTAACCTTTTCTTCAACTAGGAAGGATTAATCACGCGGGCATGCATCGTAGATTGTGTTTGAGAAACTTATATAGGAGAAATATTAACCGAAACATATAAAATATCATTTGGCTTGTCTGGATTATTTGAGAACATTTAGAAAAAAAACCCTTGGTAATTGGTATATTTTATCTAATTAAAGGCACTCGATTTGGTAATTGGTATATTTTATCTAATTAAAGGCACTCGATTTTTGATCCAGTGGCTAAGACTATTCATATTTCACTCGATATGGGCATATGTATCTTACATTGTTAGTTTAATTATAAAGAGAGATCAATTAGATAAAAATCAAATGTGTAGCTTATAAAAAAACACTATAGTTGTTTCAATATTGATTGTTTATCTTATAGTTTAGTAGCTACCAAAATAAAGAAGAGGATGGCGGTGTTTTTTTGCATGTGAGAGGGAGGAGGAGATGGAGGGACTTTATTTTTCTAAATAATTTAAGTGAAAACCGATTATAATATGTTTCTTTTTTTCTCAAAATTTCTTTTATTGCTTTTATAACTTTTAAGACATGACACATGTTGACTTAATGTTTTGCAAAAAATATATTTAATTGACGAAAATAATGAATCCATCGAGTTAATATGAATTGTTTTCTAATTTTTAAGACGTAACACATTATTAGTTGAAAGTACTCTGGGATGTTTAATCAATTTTTATCATGTAAACTTATTTATGACATAATGCATATAGTCAACTTTTTTTAAAAAAAAATTTCATTCTTATTTGGTTTCCATGAAAAAAATTGGAGTCTACTTCAAGTGATGTATTTTAATTTATGGTAAAATATGGATAATGATGAACTTGAATTATTTATTTAGTTACAAATAAAACAACAATTGAAACAAACTAAAAATCATATACTCCCTCCGTCCTAGAAGATAAGAAGTTTCTAGGGTTGGATACGATTATTAAGAAAGTAGGTAGAAGTGAGTGGTGGAGAGTTGTGATTGGATGAGTAGTTGAGGTAGGTGGGAAAAGTGAATGGTGGATAGTTGTGATTGGTTGGAAAAAGAATATTGGTGGAGAAGTTGTTATATTTTGGGACAAATCCCAAGGGCTAAAAGTTATTATATTTTGGGACGGAGGGAGTACAACTTTTAAAATTATAGTCGTTAAGCTATCTGATTATTGATTTTTTTATATGATGTGTATGTGTGGGGATGTTCATGTGAACACATATATTATGTGTGAAGGGTTGGAAGTGGGCCTTTTCGCTTTTTATACTGTTAAGATATCAGTTGAAAATAATAAGGACACCGTGTTTAACTTAAAATAATCAATGGTTAGGTTTTGTACAAGTTAAATTATAGTCAACGGGTGCATTAAATTCTAATTTATGATTTTAATCATAAATAGCATAATTACACAAATATAACGTATAATTTGGTCTGATAGAAAAAAATTTCATAAAGAAAAAAAGGAAGAGGGGACATCTCCTTTTCAAAAAGAGAAAAAAATCAATCTTATCCTGCGGCTTGGAGTGGTGGGCCTATTAATTTTAGTAAAAATTAAAAGGCTAGTTATTTCTTTTTTCTCATCTTTTCTAAGATTTTATCTAATTTATTAAAGCGCCACGTAGTATCATAGGAGTATTTATATGAGCGTCATGTGGTGGCTTAGAAGTGTTTATAGGAAGTTTAATGGACTTTTATTATATAATAGATAGATAGATTGATTGATTGATATTGTCGATATAATTCAGCGACACATGTTTGTAGAATTATTTAAGGTGACATAGTATATGTTGTCAACTTTTTTATATTTTAAAAATATTTCATTGTTATATTTGGTTGCCATGTAAAAAAATAGCCCATAGAACAACATAGATCTTGAATTATTTATTTAATTATAAATAAAACAACAACAAAAATAAGCCATGTAACTATTGAAATTGGAAGATTAGGAAAAGGTAGAGAATATGAGAGGAGGGAGTACGTAACGTACGTACTAATTGGAGGAGGGTAACATACCAGCGAGGAGGGGAGGTTGGGACCGGTACCGTGAAGAGGGGGATTTTATTTATTTTTATTACTAAGGCCCTGTTTGATTCATCTTAAGATTATTATAATCTAGCTTATTAGGAGTAAGCTGAAATAAACAAGTAGATTATTATAGCAGATTATTGTAATCTATAAGCCAGATTATTATAATCTAATAAGCTGCTCTAAAAGAGCTTTTTTCAGATTATCGAGTGGCTAAAGACCCACTACTCCTACATACTTGAGAAAAATTACCCACCTATGCCATCAACCGAACAGATAGCTGGGGGCATTATAGACTTTAGCCTTTCAAACCCAATAATCCATGCCTCCAATAATCCAGACAAACAAACAACTCACAGCTTATTCTATATCAGCTTATTATAATCCAGCTTATAGCAATCTGGTTTAATAATCTAGATTATAATAATCATAAGCTGAAACAAACAGGGCCTAAATCTAATGGTTGAAAATATTGGACCCACCAATTTAAAGAAAAATCAACGGTTGTATTTTAGAGTGCCACTTGACGGCTTATGAGCGTTTGTAGGAGTGACACATGGCGGTTTAGGAGCGTGTATGAACTAATTGGAGGAGGGTAACATACCAGCGAGGAGGGAGGTGGGGACCGGTACCGTGAAGAGGGGGATTTTATTTATTTTTATTACTAAATCTAATGGTTGAAAATATTGGACCCACTAATTTAAAGAAAAATCAACGGTTGTATTTTAGAGTGCCACTTGGCGGCTTATGAGCGTTTGTAAGAGTGACACATGGTGGTTTAGGAGCGTTTGTAGGAAGTTTAATGGACTTTTAGTATATAATAGAAGATAGATAGATATATAGTAGCAGATTTTTTTTTAATAATGGATTAAACCAATCTCTGCACCCAAGGCAAATGTACACAACATATAGTACTAGATAGAAAATGAACTAAATATATAGTACTAGATAGAAAATGAACTAGTAAACGGGTTTTTATATGCTGCTAGCGGGTTTGCCGACATACATACATTAGCCGTCATAGGTTACAGGAGCAAGACACAAATGATGTTCGCGGCGCCTCTGGAAAAGGTAACCACAGGTAATTCTAATCTATCACTAGGAAGTTCATCCCGTTTTCATTGGACACTGAAAATTCAGTCTGCGCCTGCGTGCATCTATTAACTGGCAGTATATTATATATTTATGTCATATTTTATTAGACATCTTTGGTGCCTTCTAATCTACTCCTTCTAGATATAGAGTAATGTCTACATTTATTGTACTATGATGTGTTATATCCTAGTACGTACGAGGTTAGTTTTTTTTTTTTTGGACGGATGGAGTATACTGATTCTACCGTGCGATCCTGATGAATGTTCAACAAACAATATTGCATCATGGTGCATATAAAGTGCAAAACACGATCTCATGTAGTTTGCGAACATCATGAACATGAAATTTATCAAATCTCAAGTTTGGCAAATTTTGTCTGCCTTGAATAAAACTATTATAGATATCTAGTGCACCTGTTTGCACCGGCTCGTGCGACTGTCGTTCCTTCTTACTCTCTCCGTCCAAAAAAAACTTAACTTCTAGGCTTTGAACTTTGTCCCACAAAAAACCAACTTCTACCATCTACCTACCGTCAGCACGTAAAAGAATAAGTTTTATTCCTTCAATAGTTTTTACCTACCTATCATCATTACTACTTTTTTCAATAATGAGGAGCATTTTGATCATTTTCACTCTCCAATAATTTTGCATTGGGATGCTTGGGACTGAGGGAGTAGCTTTTTAGCTAGAGGCGTTATTGTTGGAGGGTCTTTATCGCGGTTCAAGTGTTGCTACAGTTGAGTATGTAGATGACAATTGTTTGTGGCTGTAGCTCGCCGCGGAATGATATTAATTTGCTGTCGTCATGGCTTTTTCTTTTTTTTTCCCACCTTAATAAATATAGGTTATGTTCATCCTATGCAGAGGAGAGGATTGGTCTTAGATTAAGTGTATTACTATCTTGTTGTAATAGTCTGGGATATAAAATTCCTTTATCGTAAAAAAACATTTGCACCGTTGCGCAGATTAATAAGATCCTTTTCACAAAAGAGCTATGAAAATAAAAATGTTGTACATACCATAAGCTTGCCAAATGAAAAAAAGAAACAGCTCAAGCAAGGAGGGGGCTATGTTTTCTAAGAGATTATGCAAACCAACTCCTGGAAGACTTACTGTAAAGTATTTGCCATACTGCCCATATGGGTGGTTTCAAACAAAAAAGGCAAAGGACAACTGTTCTTAGTTTGGTTTGTTGTAAAAAAGTAAGAAAGTAAAAAAAAACTTCAAGTGCTTTCTGAATCCTTATTGTGAATGAGCTTCATGGAACCAATTGCGTGTTGCCACGTTAACATTGAGCGAACTCATGTTGACTGCTGAGCAAATCTGGTAATTGCATATCTCAGCTAGGTCATGCAAGATGAACCCAAACAATCGTTCTTCCATATAAGAAAAAAATAGTCTTATACAATGAGAGCATATTGAAACTCTTCCTATTCAGGATTAAAGAAACATACCAAAGTACATTAAAAGCTTGAAGGGTACGTGGAAAATAAACCATTGCATCAGAAATAGTGCCCATTGAAACATTAAAGAATCTAGCTTTTCAGAAGTTCAGGCATATATAGCATAGGTGTAAAGTCAAACAAATAAATAGTAATTTGACAAAAGAAAGATACTTGAGATGGGAATTTATCTTACAACATAAACAGATATCCACAGGGAATTGCATGAGCTAGTGTAAATCCTAATGGCCTAAGCTGAAGACCTGGACAAACCAATCACAACAGGGAGCAAAGATCACCTGATCAACATTAGTCAATCCCGATATAAAAATAAATTAGTGTTGAACTGACGTCGGAAAACTAACATGGTTTTTTTCCTCAACAAACTTGCTGGAGTAATTAGGAAGGATCAATCGAACAAACCAACGTAATGCAGATAATCGTCATTTTGACAAACGGTCAGCAGCTATATATAAAATCAAGTTGTTGGGGGTCAAAACATCGGCAAGGTAATTCAGCATCACCGAGGATGAGAAACATAGATTAGTAGTTGTATGCACTTACTGCTTTACTGAATCAAAGGGCTGGTTAGCACGCTGCTTGAGCACGAAATCCTCCTACATGAACACCATGTAATCCAAACTTGAGATGAATGCAAAGAAATACTGGGAAAAACGTAGGGAAATCATCAAATATGCTCCCTGACAAACTTGTGTCCGGCAACAATGACGACGCCAGTGGCCAGGAATCGGAAGGGATGGAGAAGTGAATAGATTGAACTACAGGATGAGTGAGATATCATTTTCTAAAAAAAAGGATGGGTGAGATATAAGCCTTTATTGGGTCGTCGGTTTCTGGTGATCGATGATCATGGTTTCTGGTGAGGGAGGCGAAGAGGATGCTTTTCATGACTTAATGTCAGCCATCAAGACTTCTCGTTGGTTGGCGTCGGCATTTGCCGCTTTTCATGATACGTACGTCGAGGAAGCGAGCAGCCTGGAGGAGTCACTAGTAAAAAAAACCTCATATAGATCAGCACTATAGGTGCCGAAATAGCTAAAACCGGCACCTATAATGCTTTTCCCTCCTCCATGGACTCAAAACACGTAAAACCAACACCTTTAAGCAACTATAGGTGCCGGTTCTCAAGAAGAACCGACACCTATAGTATAGGTGCCGGTTTTTTTTAAAAAACAACACCTTTAATATAATATAAGTGTCGGTTTTCTAAAAAGAAACCAGCACCTATCCAAATTGAGCCGATCCAGGCCGACGCATCGGCCTCATCCTATATTAGTCTCGTCCTTATCAGCCTCATCGATCTCTTAGTCTCTCTCTCGCCTCTCTCGATCTCTCTGGTCTCTCTCGTTCTCTCTCGCCCCTCTCTCTCTCTCGCCTCTTTGTGTAGCGCACGGCGGCGGTCGGGCGGCGTCCCGGCGGAGGCGTCAGTGGCGGCGGTGCCCTCCCCTCCACCGGATCCGGCGGGGGGAGACGGCGGGAGACGGGAGGCAGCGGCGCCCTCCCCTCCGCTTGATCCGGTGGGAGGGAAGGCGGCGGGCGACGGCGAGCGCCCTTCGCTCCGCTGGATTCGGCGGGAGGGGAGGCGGCGTGCGATGGTGGGCGGAACCAAGGAGAGGGAACGCATGCAGCTGTTGAGCCGGGTGGGGAAGGTGACACAGAATCGTCGGGGAGATGGCGCGGATGAGATGGGCCCGCCCGGAGGAATGCCCGTCGCCTGCATGCACGCGGGAGAGTTAACGTTTTGGCCTATCGGGTTTTTCTGTGAATAGCGTCCAGGATGTTCCACTGAGGGGACACGCAGGACCATCGATATTTGATCAAACGGATATGGATCAACCTGATGTAGGCACACGGAGGACCATCCAGATACGATTGAATGGGTGTGATCAACTTGATGACGTGGAGCAACCACAGTGCAGGAAATTAGTAAGTGGGGATAATTTGTATAGATATATAGGATTTCAGGCGAACATGGGGTGATGAGCCACAACCTATACATGGCCTCTAAGGCCAAATAAACGTACATATCTTAATTAGTGCTAGCTCTTGAATATGGAGAAATTATGTGATTAATTAAGACCTTCTAATTATCTGACAATGAGTACTATATCATGCAATTTAATGCAACTATTTTAAACACAAGACATAGCTTCAGGCTTTCAGCCAACGAGGTTTTACCTTATCCCTGTTTTATTTTTGTCATTTCAGCTCAGTACACAGATTAGAGATGTAGAATCAGCCAAGTACAAGTGGTCCAATACTTTTATGTGTTCATTTGTTAGAATTAATGAATCTTTTTTGGTATCATAAAGGCAGCGAGAGATATATATGAGAACAGATGACATGTATATATATATCTCACAGTTTGCTTCTTTTGTTCTAGGTTTTAGTTTCGCCATTAATTCTCACAAACCAACATGTGTTTCTTTTATTTTTTTGGACTCATGCAGTCATGCTGGATGTAGGTTTGGGAAGCATTGGGAGATTGGTACGTGCCATCTTGGCTCGAGTGATGCCACCACTCCGCGACGACTACTCCTGTAGATAGTGCTGAAATCGGAGGGATTGATTGTACGATTGCACACCAATAAGTAAGCCAACCAGAGGGGGTAATTCGTTGTAGTACTCCAAAACCAAAACTTATAGATGAATTAAAAGATTCCCTTGAATCGATGAAGATCGGTCTGACCGGAGTTGATGCAGGTCTGACCACCTAGAAGCCACCAGTCTAACTGGTGTAGTAGCTCCGGTTTGATCGTCAATCACCGGTCTAACCGCCGTTCACTCGCCGAAACCTAAGTAAACACAAATCGAAATTCTCCCAAAGTAGATTGAACTTTATTGTTTCTATTCGTGTTTATAAAATGCAACAACAACAATACGGCTGTCATTTTTTTTTCTAAAGTAAAATATCATTGGCAGTGCGAACAAATATGAAAGTACATCTGAAGCAAAATTCAACGATACTATTTTTATATCACTAAATTTTATATTGTTAAGCTAATTGCTAGTTAAAATTATTTGAAATGAATTGCATGCTGTTTGGGTCACCTTTTATTACCAACACTTTGGACCACCATTTATTACCTAGTGCAAAGTGAAAATACTGTGCAAATTATTGTGGTCTAAAGTAAAAAATTGGTGATAAAATTTTGTAATAAATGGTGAACCAAATTGTAGTTCACTCTGAAATTTATAGACTTTGACTCTTGAAATTGCGTGGGCACCTTGTATTTTCTAGTGGAAGGAGTAGTATTATAGTTCTTTTTTTTTGAAATTTCCCCAAAATTTCTTTATTATTTCAAATTTGAATTGGATCGAAATAATTTCGATTTGCTAGCGGAATATATTCCTAGAAAGGCCAGGTATCACGGCTCACCGTGGAAACCGGTCGGTATTTACCGAAATGGTGATCCTTGACTATTTATGAAAACTATTATTTGCAGTTCTACTGACACATTACACATGGCCTCTCAAAAAAGGAGGACATATTACACACATGACAATCGATGCATAGGTTCATATGTACCTTCACATATGCCATGGTCTTATAGTACTGAACAAAATAGTATTTGAACACAGATAGCTATAACATAACGTGGTCTAGAAATTACAAAAGATGAACAAAGATTATCTCAATATCTTGTCTATCACAAATTTCTTTGAAGCAACAGGTTTGGGAGGTATCAGGAACTAGTGCATCTGAGCTAGAGAGATCAGAGAACATTCTTGCCCTCCAATTCTTGCGGTTCTTGGCACTCTGCTCACACTGGAAACAACTGTCACCGCGCATTCATGATCACTGACGTGAAAGAGGAAAGGATTGCACGGCTAAGTGAGAAGATCCACCGATGAAAAGACTTGCGTGTTTTCGACTCATCCATCGGCATTGGAGCTACAAAGAGTAAGCTTGATGGCAAACGTAGCAACAGCCAGGACATAATTAATTTAGATGGAGTTGTTCAGAACATGGTTCAGAACTTCAGATTGCCCACTTGACATTGGTACCATGGATCCCTCCCAAAATGGTTTATTATCAATTTAATTTTCTCCTCATTTGGTTGAAATTTGTTGGAAACTCATTCAAAGTTCAAAATCGAGTGAGATATCAACATCACGTATGGACTTAAATTTCAAAAACTGATATTGTGAACCTGGTATAGAGTTGACTCAATGGATATAGTCAATGTGAGAGAAGCATGAAATAATTCTCTCTTGGATAGTCTCTATATCTCTCTATTTGTGCTATGTATGTAGTAGTATTTTCTCAATAAATAACTGTAAAATCAATCATAAGCAACACTTTAAAATATCCTATATATATTGTTATCACAATTTTTTTGCTATTACCAATTGAAGTAAAACTTCTCGTCCATAGGTTAATTTTTTCTGATGGATCTATCATGGCATGACTAATGCGAGCCACAGAGCTACTAACCAATAATTTCATCCCTCTGGCACATGCACATGCCACTTATAGATAAAAAAGAAGAACATATAATTAATTTGCAAAAAAGATATCTTGTACATTAGTGCATATACATTTAATAACTGGTTGCTAACATACATAACTTGGTCCATAAATTGGCCTTGCAAAATTGCACCCATTGTTGACTTAAACCGGGAGACGTTTATCCAACTGGGAGAAGGCCTTGCTACGTCTCAAAAGCTAGCTAAAGAGGTGAGCGACTTCCTCCACTTTTAACCTGATTCAATTCTTCATAAACTATTAATGTAGGACTATTCCCGACACCACTAATAAGTACTAGCTAGTAGTTGTATTTTTACCGTCTAGAACACACAATGGAAGCATGATGAAGATCATTGGTGAAGGATCTATCAGGGATAAAGCTCTTGACAGATATTCTTTCAAAAAAAAAAAGCTCTTCACAGATAAACTGCACGCATCACCAATTCACTAATGTTTCCGAACTCTGAAACAGTAGGATTGGAAGGCGCTGGGAACTGCTGCATGGACCTCATCAGTTCATCAGGGCATCCTTGGCTTCTTCTGTCCCCCAAATTTCCAGTTGAAGGGCGAAGAACCTACAAGAAAATCTCTGGACGATAGCTTCAGGTCCCGTCCTGCCAATCTGCATGCATCTCTGATTCTTTACCAGAACGCGTATGTTTTGACCATCCAAAGTTCCTATGCATTTGATGTGTTTTTGAGGACAGTCATGAATATGAACATGCATGTAAAGTGCAAAGCATGTCCTAATGTAGTAACATCATGAACACATGAAATTTAGCAAATCAGGTTGTCAATTTTTGGCTGCCTTGAATAAAATTATTATATCTAGTGCACCGCTACAATGATGGCGTGTGCACCTGTTGTTCCCTGTTTTTGGAGGGCCGTTATCGTGGTTCGTATTGCTATAGTGTGGATGAAAATCACTTGTGGTTGTAGCTCGCTATGGCATAATATTTTTATATTTTTAATTAGATTAATTTTATCATCTTGATGTATTGTCTGAGATATAAAACTTTCTTTATCTTAAAAAAATATACACTGTTCTGCAGGTTTAATAAGCTACTTTTCAAAAAGAGCTATGCAGATCCAGTGATCAACTGGTATTAACAATTTGTAACCACAATAATGTACATAGCTTAATTAGTGCTCTTGAATATTGAGAAATGATGTGACTAATTAAGATACCTTCTTACTTTATATATATGACAAGGAGTGCTATATCGTGAAATTGAATGCAACTATTTTCAGACAATTTCATGATATGGTTTGTACGCAAGGCGTAGCTTCAGACTTTCGGTCAATGAGGTTATGCCTTATCCCAATTTTCATTTTACACTCTAGCATACAAAGTAGAGATGCTGAATCAGCCTAGTACAAGTGGTCCAATACTTTTATGTGCTCATTTGCTAGAATGAATCTTTTTGGTTGGTGATCATAAACATAGAGAGAGGCCAATATATATGAGCACGCATGTGTATCCACTGTTTGCTTATTTGTTCTATGTTTCAATTTCTCCACCATCAGAAACCAACACATCTGGTTCTTCTATCTTTTGGACTCATGACGTATGTAGGTCTAGGATGCATTGGGAGATTGGTATGTGCAGTTTAGGATGTCGACTGATGCCGA